GAACTCCCAGAAGTACAAGCTGGATTTTGAAGGGGCAGAGGAACTAGAGACCAAATTGCTAACATGTGCTGGATTATGGAGAAAGCTAGAGAGTTCCAGAAAAACATCTACTTCTGCTTCATTGACTACGCAAAAGCCTTTGACTCTGTGGACCACAGCAAACTATGGCAAGTTCTTAAAGAAATGGGAGTGCCTGACCACTTTATCTATCTCCTGAGAAATCTATATGTGGGACAGGAAGCAACAGTTAGAACTTGATATGGAGAATTGATTGGTTCAAACTTGGGAAAGGAGTACGACAAGGGTGTATATTGTCCCCCTGCTTATTTAATTTATATGCAGAATACATCATGTGGAATGCTGGACTGGAGGAATACCAAGGCAGAATTTAGATTGCCGGAAGAAATATCAATAACCTCAGATATGCAGATGATACCAATCTGAAGGCAAAATGTGAGGAAGAATTAAGGAACCTCTTAATAAGGCTGCAAGAGGAGAGTGTAAAAAAATGGTCTGAAGCTCAACATCCAAAAAACTAAGATTATGCCCACTGGCCCCATCACCTCATGGCAAATAGAAGAGGAACATATTGAGGTAGTGACAGATTTTACTTCCCTGGGCTCCATGATCACTGCATATGGTGACAGCAGCCACAAAATTAAAAGACACCTGCTTCTTGGGAGGAAAGCAATGACAAACCTCAACAGCATCTTAAAAAGCAGAGACATCACCTTGCTGACAAAGGCCCACATAGTCAAAGCTATGGTTTTTCCTGTAGTGATGTATGGAAGTGAGAGTTGCACCATAAAGAAGGCTGACCGCTGAATAATTGATGCTTTTGCATTGTGGTGTGGGAGAAGGCTCTTGAGGGTCCCCTGGACTGCAAGGAGAACAAACCTATCCATTCTCAAGGCAATCAACCCAAAGTGCTCACAGGAAGGACAGATCCTGAAGCTGAGGCTCCAATACTTTGGCCATCTCATGAGAAGAGAAGACTACCTGGAAAAGACCCTGATGTTGGGAAAGTGTGAAGGCAAGAGGAGAATGGAATGACATAAGACAAGACGGCTGGACAGTGTCATCAAAGCTACTAGCAGTGGAAGACAGGAGGGCCTGGCGTGCTTTGGTCCATGGGGTCACGAAGAGTCGGACATGACTTAACGACTAAACAACAACAAAAACTACAGCAGTCAGTGAAAAGAAATATAGGAAAAATACAAAAGGGGAAACACAAGAGATTTCTTCTAGTAGAGCCAAGAAATCAAAGGGAAATTATAGCCTAGATAAAGAATGCTGGATGACCAACAAGGAAGCACAATATCTGAACAGGAAAAAAATACTAGGAATTTTAATAAAGATCTATAAAGAAGACAAACTCCTTTGAAGAGGAATCTTAAAAAACTGTAGCTCTAGAAAGTAAAGTGAAAGCTGCTCTGAAAGCACTAGGAAGAAATAAATTACTTGGGGTAGGTGCAATACCTGTAGAGCTAATTTTAAGCCACAGACACTGAAACTGTCAAAATCCTAATAAGAATATGGAAAACAAAACAATGGCCCACAGACTGCAAATATTCCAATCCCTAAGAAAGGAGATGCTAAGAAGTCCCAGAGTGTAGGACATGTAATAATGGGCTGAAATTGGAGGAACCCAGGTTTAGGCTGAATATCAGGAAGAAATTTCTTAACTGTTAGAAGAGTATGACAATGGAACCAATTACCTTGGGAGGTGGTGAGCACTCCAGTGCTGGAGGCATTCAAGAGAAAATTGGACAACCATCTTTCGATCTGCTTTGATTTGGATTTCTGCATTGAGCAAGAGGCTGGACTTGATAGCTTTATAGGTCTTCCAACTTAATTATTCTATGAATCTATGGTTCTAAGTGCAATATCTATAGGATCATGCCTTTAATTTTTCATATAAGTAAAGTGAAGCTCAAAGTGTTGCAACAAAGGCTTTTTACCTTATATGGAGCAATAAATGCCTGAAGTTCAAGCTGGATTCTGAAAAGGACGAAACACTCAGTATCATTTGGAAAATATATGTTGGGTATTGGAGTGACACATATGATTTCAGAAGATAGGTCTGTGCTTTATAGCAGTGGTTCCCAAACTTTGATCCCAAAGGTTTTTGAACTACAAACTCCCAGAAATCTTGGCCAGCATAGCCAGGTGATGGCTCCTAAGAGTTTTAATCCATGAACATCCAGTGACCCAAGGTTGGGAACCCCTTCTTTATAAACTACAGTGAAGCATCTGACTGTAGATCATGAGAAACTGGGTTGTTGTGAGGTTGACCTCAGCACTTGACTGTACTGATGTATAACCTGTACTGTGGACAAGAAGCTACCCTAAGGACAGAATATGGACATACAGAATGTTTTCCTATTTGCAAAGGTGTCAGACAAGGGTTCATTTTATTCCTTTAGCTGTTCAAGACTCAGGAGGACAGCAATGCAGGAGTTAAAGAAGATCATCAAGTGGAAGGACTTGTCACCAGAGACCAAAATCATTCACACTCTTGTATTTCTGATCACCATGTAT